TGGACTAGGTGCGTTCCTCTAAGTCTTCCTACCAATATTACCAAGTTGCGAAAACAAGGTCAAACAACTTTTATAGAACGAAAAGAGACTGCGACCACGCAAAACGCCACATTATCTTGGTCTTCATATCCTCAACTACACTGGATGAAGTTAATTGAGAACTGCGAATCTCGTTAATATTGTTGAATCCAGAGCTAGGATTGAGACAATGTGTTAAAAAACCAGATAATTGGACTTGAGTATAGTTGATTTTCCACGACTGAATCCATTCATTTTCTTCAATACGCAATGATCCATATCACCTATAGTCACTATCTCACTTCACTAAATGTTTACTATGCATTAGAAAGTTCCAATACCCAATTAGTTTTATTGAATTACGCCACTAAATACTGACTAAGCAACTCTCATTCTGGTACCCATTTATAGTTGCCACATAGAGTGATAATTAAGATGCTTTTTGAGATTATACCACTTTGCCATCCTTCCAATTGCATCACTTGCGTTTGCTGCGCCACCAATTTTCTGGCATCAAAGTCCTACTTGTGCCACACATACATTGTTATAATCACTGTTATAATTTAAATTAATTCGCACCTATGGGCAAATTTGAGGCTTACTTCAAGTCCTCACTCCACCTCTTTTTCTCTTTACCAATCTGCAATACAGTTGCACACAGTATCTCATATTCCCATTCACAGTTTTATGAGGTAATATACATCTTGTGTGGAGCATATTCTTTCTCTCTTGAGCATACACAAGCACACTGAGTCAACGCTCTTTCTTTTTCAAACATAGTTCACTTTCCATGAGCAATATAATGCATAAACTGGTGAGTCCATAGCTAAGGAGATGGGCCAATCTTCCCCTAGCTTGGTACTCTCATCGATATACCTCGGCCCTGGTTATTCACATAGTGTACTAGCTCAGTATCTCGGCGTCTTCACTCTTCATCGTTTCAACGTCGGTTGCTCTTTAAAGGCCAAGAACGGCCAAGCTTTCCTAGCGCTTAAGCTAATTCAATGCCTTCCAACTTTGTCGCTAAGTCCCTATCTACAGAACCACTCCATGTAAGCTGTCTCAACAATGCCAGCATTGCCTGTACTGGCATCACATCTATGTAATATTTCAGCGTTGCACTTCAATGTAATATTTCAGCATAATATCTAAGCGCTACCTCATCTTTCTATATTAAAGTCTCTTCCATCAATCTCCTCTCTGCATATCTGTGCCGCATCGTTTACTAATAGTGTCACCTTTCAACAGATTACCAACATCTGATCCTCCGAAAAACAGAAGTTCCACCCTTCTACAGGCTACATCCCGACGGAGCCCCGTTATTCCAATTCATAGCTCTTTGATATGCTCAACATCGGCTTCATGTCTTGCCGCCTCAGCTGTCGGTCGTATCAGCTGAAAAATTGCTTTAACAACAGCGTAGCATATTGTCCCACACCGTCACATTTCATCCCCCACTTATTCATTCTTGTACATTTGCTCCATACATCGTCATTACCCTATAGTTCGTCTTAAACCTTGTTCAGTCTTGACGCCACACCATTAGCACCAAGACAATAGTCACACTAAAGTTTTCTTCCTTTATGAGATTCTTAGCATATACATATATATTTTTACTTATTTATATTTATGATGCTCTTTTATTCTTAAGACAATATTTTTCTATAGTTTTGTCACCGATATCAGAAAACTGTCTCGATTATGTGGTCGTAAGTAGGACGAAGCCCATATTTATTTTGATATCCACAATCAAATCCGAATAGACTATTTTGTCCCTCATGAGATTCAACATATTTGACTCGACCAAAGTCAACTAGGAATACATTATAGATATTTATTACCTGATAGTGATTATTACTTATTTATATTTCCTTTAATATTTGCGATCTAAAATTTATTTTTACAGCTATGTGCACAGCACTAAATGCTTCAGTTTTCAACTTTTTGCTTAAGATCCTCTTTTCATTATAAGTAAGGAGCTAGGTTGTGCAATGCTTTAGCATATTGTCAACTCGAGTCTTTCATTTGGTATTGTAGTAAATAAAGATGATAATCGTCTTTCATTACTTTATAAAACGCATTAACGCACACTCCTCTATTGTAAGTATAAATATGAAAATGATTTATTTTTGCATCGTAGTCTTTGAGGATAGTTGATCCCTCACTGAGTTTTAGAAGCCATAATCGCCCCGCGAAAACTTTAGTAACACTTTACTTGAAGTAAAGTTTCTCCTGAGTTCGAGTTTAAGTAAAGTACTGAGAGTAAATTTTAGCTTTATCAAATCAGTTTCATTGAAGGGAAGAATAATCTTTCAAATATTTGCTACAATGAAAGATAAAAAAGCATCGGGTAGCTGAAACTACTAGCTGTATTTGTGGTTTTGGGGCGAAGAGAAGGTTAAAAGTAATCAGGGCTTATGCACATAAGATGCGATATTCTTTGGTGTTGTTGTTTATGCTGATATTTGCAAAACTTGTAGAGGTTGTGGTATACATGTAATCTGGAGTAGTGCGACGACGAAGTAAAGTGCCTGTTTTTCTCTGAAAAATTTTCATTTTGTGCTTTGTTTCGAGCATTTTTTCAATATTTTGGCCATCATCAGACGCCTTGTTTTTTTAACCATCTGGATAAATGCATTTGTAACATTGGACTTTTCATCTTTTTTAGATTTAAGACAAGTACGAACTTCTGTGTTTATATCTTAATGCCGTACTACACATTAACACATATCCATATGTGCGGAAATTTTCAGACTATTTTTAACTTTGCCCTCCATTTGCTTGAACTCTATTCTTATTTGATGTATTGTAGGGCTGTTGTTACTTTATTTAATTCTGCTGAAGGTATGCGGACCAAAATGCTGTGGCCTTTAGCATTGTCGCAGTCTTCTCTTGCTGTATAGAAGTTGTTTAACCTTGTTTACGTAACTTGGTCATATTGGCAGA